TCTGTGCTTATTTAAAATGACGTAGAAGGTAGAGCCTGGACATGTCTCCACTAGTGACCATACCAAAGTTATAGCAAATCTACAGAGCAAGCAGCACACATAGTTGCCATAGGTCTAGCTGAAACAGGAGCCCTACAAATAGGTCACCTCAAATAACAGGTCACTTCAAAATGCTAGGAGGGACAGAGATATGAAACAGCCTGGTCCTACAACTACATGTGGTAATCAAGAATAAGGAGGGTTATCTGTAGAGCCACCTGCCCCAACTGAGGGGTGAGGGGTCCTGGCCCTATACTGGGCTCCCCACCTCTGAGTTCCAGACTAGGAAGACAAGTCCCCACAATCTCTGAGTTGGAAACCAGCAGAAGTTGTAGCTCAGTGAGACAGAAGACAATGTGATCAGAGACTTTCCTCTTAAAGGGTCCAAGCCCAGACTTACTCACTGACAGACTAACTCACTGTCAGCTCCCATGCTGGGCCAGCTGCTTGGAGGCACTAGGGCCATACATGGAGGTGCTGAGTTATTAGGCTTCAGAACAAGGGATGGAGGAACAGCTGGCTCCCAGATGGAAGTATAGGTAGAAGCCATTGTTCCTTCATTGAGCCCTCCCTACTTCCAGCACACAGACACAAGCACCTTCAGCCTGGATAATACAGTTCTCTCCACCCTGGTCATTCCCTGAGATTGTGCCTCTTCCAACTTGTGGACCCACCAAAGCCACCTACAGTAATTTATTCCATACAAAATGGCTGTCTTGGCTTCTGCTGTGAATTTTCATAAAATCTCTCAAAGGCTTACAAAATCCAGAGATGCAGTATCTTGTCTCATTGTGCCATGTATCTCTTGCTGAGCCAGTCCCAGGCCCTCTACCAGTGGCAGCCGGCCTTAGTTTCTGACGTGGCCCCTCGAGACACCTGTAAGCCCAGCACAGGTGGCAGCCATATGTAGATGGCTTGGTTACACTGGCAGGAGGTCCCGGAGGTGCAGAGGCTGTGCCTAAAATTGCTCTGTAGGTGGATCTTCCCAAGTCTTTGCCACGGGGATCCACAGCATACCTACATAAGGCCACTCTACTAAGTCTGAGAAACATACCAGCCCTCCCTGATACATAGAAACAGACACAGGGAGGAAGCCAAATGGGGAAACAAATAAGCATGTCCCACATGAAAGAAGAAAATAAAGCTCCAGAAAAAGAATTTACCAAAATAGAGACAAGAAATATACAAAACATAGATTTCAAAACACTGGTTTTAAAGATATTCAAGTAACTTAGAGTAAAAGTATATGAACTCTGAGATTAAAACAAAACAAAAAACCAACATAAAATACACATAGAACACATAATAGGGAGCCAGTCAGAAATTAAGAATATAGTATCTGAAATGAAGAGTACATTAGAGGAAATCAATAGAGCAGATGAAACGGAGGATCAAATCAGCAATGTAGAGGATGGGGTAGCAGAACACAAGCAGAACAGCAACAAGAAAAAAGAATCCAAAAAAATGAGGATATTTTAAGGAGCCTCTAGGACAACATCAAGCATACCAACATCCTGTCATAGAGGTACCAGAAAAAGAGAGAGAGCAAGAAATTGAAAACCTATTTGAAGAAATAATAATGGAAAACTGTAACCTGGTAAGGAAACAGATATACAAGCCCAGGAAACTCAAGAGAGTCCCAAACAAGATGAGCCCAAAGGGGCCCAAATAAGATGATCCCAAAGAGGCCCACACCAAGATACATCATAGCTAAAAAGCCAGATGTTAAAGACAGAATCTGAAAATCAGCAAAAGAAAAGCAGTTAGTTTCCTACTAGAAAGCTCCCATAAGATTGGTAGCTGATTTCTCAGCAGACACTATGCAGGCCAGAAGGGACTGACACAACATATTCAAAGTGATGAGAAGCAAGTACCTACAACCGTGATTACTCCAAAACTATCATTTAGAAAAAGTATCATTTAGAATCGAAGGACAGATAAAGTGCTTCTCAATCAAGAAAAAGCTAAAAGAGTTCATGACCATCAACCCCGTATTACAGGAAATGTTGGAGGGACTTTTTTAAGAAGAAGAAAAAAATATGTATCAAAAATATGAATAAATAATGGCTATAACTACAAATTTATCAACGAATACGTCAAATGAAAAAAGAATCGAATGATCCTCTCAAAAGATAGAATGCTAAATGGGTAAGAGTACAAGCCCCTTATGCTGCTTACAAGAGACTCACTTCAGATCAAAAGATACAGAGCCTGAAAGTAAAGGGATGATAAACTAGAGGTTAGTATGCTGAGTGGAGTGAGTCAGATAGAGGCAGACAAATGTCTTAATGATTACAAGTATATATGGAATCTAAACAACAACAACAATAAAAAATCCCTCACAGATACAGAGATTTTGAGGGTTACCTGATGGGAGAGGTGTTGCGGTGGGTGGGTAAGTGAAAAAAGGGGACAGGATTAAGAATTACAAATTGGTAGTTACAAAGTAGTCAAGGAGATTGAAAGTATATAGCATAAGGAACACAGTCAGTATTGTAAGAACTATGTATGGTGTCTGTCAGAGGAACACTAACTAGATTTATTGGAATGATCACTGTGAGACTTAAAAATATCTAATCACTAGGTTGTACACCTGAAACTAATAATATATTGTATGCCAAATATAACTGAAAAATAAAAAAATATTTCTAAAAAGAAAAAAATAAATCTGTAATTGTGTCTAGGATATCTAATTTTAAAGCATCATGCCATGGCAGCACCATCAATCTGCCTGTGGTGAGAAAGTTATAAGCATTTAAAGTGTGTACCAACATTACATTGGGTGTTTATAGGCTCTATAGGAGTCATAAATTGGTAGGAGACTGTTTCATTAATTTTCTGATACTCTTTGTAAGAATTGAGAGTTTACATAAAGGAAGAAGCAGTAATAATGACAGTAGCTAATAAATATCAGATGTGATTCACTTAATGAGCATTTATTTTTCACACACACCTCTAAACAACTCAGTAATTTAAAAGCACATTTATCCCATTGACTTTACAGTATAATAATGACTTTTTGTCCATTAATTTTCAGGTCACCAAGAAAATAACAACTTCTGTTCTGTGAACATAAATATTGGTCCAGGTGATTGTGAATGGTTTGTCGTTCCTGAAGATTATTGGGGTGTTCTGAATGACTTTTGTGAAAAGTAGGTTTCTGAATCTAATTTTTTCCTAAAGTAATTATAAAAAACAGTTATTGTAAAGGACAAAAGTATGATAATGGCTTTCCAGTTATTCAGCAGAAATTCTATTTTAAATGATTTTATTGCAAATTTTTAATTTTTTAAGTCAGTTTTTAAAAATGATGCTTGAATTAACATTCATTTGATAAATGTGCCTTAAAGAGAAATGTGGCTTATAACTGAAGTTAGAAATAGTAAGAATTCTAAAATTAATATCCTTACATCTTGTTAATGACTCAAGCTTGTGAATCTTTGTAAATCAGCCTAAAATTATCAGTTGTGCAATAGCAAGCAAATCACATGCTATTTTCAGAGTTGGTAATGATATTGGCATAATATAAGTTATATCATTATATATCATATTTAATGAAGTACTGAATGAAATTCTTAGTTTACCTGTGAGATTATTTTAAAATCAACACACGTCTTTCATATATTAAACCCTACTTTTAACATTTTGTAGTTTTTATTCAATGTTTTTTATTTAGTAAAAAGTAGATCATAGTGCTTAAAAAATATGTACTCCAAAAATATATTATTCACTGGCAAGATATGATCATTTTTATTGTCTTTTGTAGAAGATTCTAGACTAAGAAAGGTGAAATTTTTTTAATTTAACATTTCCTACGAAAATAATGTACTTTTCTCTAAACATTTATGCACCAGCAAAGTGATATCTTAAATAGTAAAAAGAAGTTTTATGTCAGAATCTTCATTGTGCTAAAAAGCATTTATTTCTGAGAGTTATAAAGATACTGTACTAATTGTTGCACATTCAGTACAGTAATTCTTATTCTGAATAAAAACTGTTTTCAGGTTTTAACTTTCTTTGCTTTGAAATAGGTGAACTAGGTCACAAAGAGTTGGAAAAGACAAGTGATGTTCAAAATGTTTGAATTTCAGAGTAATAAAAATATTTACTTAGAATGATTTCATTTATCTAAAGTCACAGGAATGGCACTTATTCTCTGAGCTTACTGTAATTTTCTCTTGACATTGCTTCTATTTATAATTTCTGTAGTTTATGACTATATAACGTTTATCTTAAATCATTCATTGTTTTCAGCTTTAGGAAAAAATACTTGATCTATTTGCCTTTGGTTTTCTTTTGTTTTTTGTTTGTTTTTTTTAATATTTTAGTTTCGAGTATACAGTACATTGGTTAGGCATTTATATAGTTTTTAAAAAATCCCCCTAACTATTCTTTCTCTCCTCCAGCTGTACACTTTACCATTATACTACTGCTGACTACATTCCCTATTCTGTTCTCCTCATCCCCATGACCATCTATCAACTACTAATTTTACTTCTTTAACCCTTCATTCCATTCTTCCAGCCTCCCAACCCCCATGCCTTTGGCCGTCACCAGTTTGTTCTCTATACCTGTGAGTCTGTTTTTGATTAGTTTGCTCTTTTTGTTCCTTTGATTCCCACATATAAGTGAAATCATATATATTTACCTTTCTCTGTCTGACTTATTTCACTCAGCATAATAACCTCTGGGTCCATCCATGTCATTGCAAATGGTAGGATTTCATTCTTTTTAACGGCTGAGTAATATATTCCATTGTATACATGAACTATAACTTCTTTATCCAATCATCTGTTGATGGGCATTTAGGTTGCTTCCATATCTTGGCTATTGTAAATTTTGCTGCCATGAGCATGGGGGTGCGTAGATCTTTACAGATTTTTGTTTTGGTTTTCTTTGGATAAATACCCATAAGTGCAATTGCTGGGTCAAAAGATATATCCATTTTTAATTTTCTGAGAAACGTCCAGACTTTTTAATAATAGCTGTACCAACTTGCAGTCCCACGATATCTGTGTATCAGAGTTCCCTTTTCTCCACATCCTCTTTGATTTATTGACGATAGCCATTCTGTCAGGTGATATCTCATTATGGTTTTAATTTGCATTTCTCTCATGATTAGTAACCTTGAGCATGTTTTCATGTGTCTGTTGGCCACCTGTATTTCCTTTCTAGAGAAATATCTGTTCAGGTCTTCTGCCCAGTTTTTAATTGGATTGTTTTTGTTTTGTTTTGTTTTTGTTATTGTTGTTGTTATTGAGTTGTAGGACTTCTTTATATATTTTTGGATATTAACCTCTAATCGTAAGCAAATATCTTCTCCCATTCAGTCAGTTGTCTTTTTGTTTTGTTGATGGTTTCTTTTGCTGTACAAAAGCTTTTTAGGTTGATGTAGTCCCATTTGTTTATTTTTTCTTTTGTTTCTCTTGATTAAGGAGATATATCTGAAAAGAAATTACTGTTATTAGCTTCGGAGAGTTTACTGCCTGTATTTTTTTCTTTAAGTTTTATGGTTTGGGGTCTTATATTTAAGCCTTTAATCCATTTGAGTCTATTCTTGTATATGGTATAAAAAGGTGTTCCAGTTTCTTTTCTTTCTTTCTTTCTTTCTTTTTTTTTTTTTTGTTGGTATATATCTGTCTAATTTTCCCAGCACCATTTATTGAAGAGGCTGTCTTTACCTCGTTGTGTATTCTTGCCTCCTTTGTCATAAATTAAGTAAGCATATAGGCATGGATTTATTTTTGGCCTCTCTGTTTTTTCCATTGATCAATGTATCTCTTTTTATGCCAGTACCATGCCGTTTTGATTACTGTAGCCTTGTAGTATAGTTTGATATCAGATAGTGTGATACCTCCAACTTTGTTCTTCTTTCTCAAGATTGCTGTGCTTATTTGAGGTCTCTTGTGGTTCCATGTAAATTTTAGGATTATTTGTTCTAGCCTCTGAAAAATGCCATTGGTATTTTGATAGGGATTGCATTGAATCTATAGATTGCTTTGCATAGAATGGCCATTTAATGATGTTGATTCTTTCTACCCATGGGCATGGTATATGCTTCCATTTATTTGTATCTTCTTCAAGCTTTCCTTTTTTTTTTAATAGAAAGTTTATATTGGCAGTGTTTGAGTGAAAAATGGCTGTTTGTACTATACTCATAATTTTTTTCTTTTTCTCATTTTTATTCCACTGGCAATATTTGAAATCTTATAGAAAACATACCAGTTTTGATCCCTTGATTTGTCAGCATCATTTAGGCTTATCTCAAGGAAAGTCTTCCATTTTAGGAGAGAAAATGGGAAGTTTCTATATAAACGATTCCAAGGCACCCTTTATTAAATTTTTAAAACATAGAAATAACGTAAGATTTTCTTAAATCTTCAGAAAGGAACAGTTTTACCATCGAATTTCTTTTTGAGAAAACTGAATAATTTGAAATACTTAAAGTATATCTTACTAAAT